CGGCCCATGGCCTAACGTGTGCTTTGAGTTTTGGCCTTCTGTGCGATTGGGTTTGACATTGGTGCTCTAGGAACAATTGTCTAATTATTGCTTAATTGGCCAGACAAAAGGGCTTATTCACTTACTTGCAAGCGGTAACATGTAATTTTTTGTCTGAACTGCGCCTCACATCAAAGCACAAGATGTGTCAGATGGTCCAGAACCTCTCCATATCGCAATTATTTTCAACATTGGACTGGCAGTTTCACGACAAAGAACAACATTCACCAGATTTTTTTTTCTCTTATCCTACTGAAGCCTGAACTACAAAGGGGTACTTTTTTAGGGGGTTGGCAAAAGGAAAAAGAAAATAGTTTCCTAAATGCTACAAATCCATTTCAAAACAAAGTGGGCGCAAGTGAACGCAAGCAATCACAGATAATCTTCTTATACGCAGTGGGCTAAAAACCAAATGTGTTTTCAGTTACTATTATGTACACAAAGCATTGTTCGGTGCACTTCTGCTCTTGAATATACCGTAGACTCATCGGCCACATCGTGAGGTGCACCCGCACAGTTTAATGCAATGCAGCGTCGCGCTAATGTGCAATTGTTCTCCAAACCTTCAGCTATTTTTTTTTTCAAACAACAGACATTGGTGCTCTAGGAACAATTGCTCCAATTATTAAATGAAATCATCACTATCCAGATATCATCGCATTGTGCAGATGAACTACCTCGACTGGACGAAACAAACGCAGAGATTTTTGCAATAATAAAATACAAAATGATGCATTCATTGCAGCCGTGTATGTCGAGCAATGGGTGTGATGCCCATTCTACCTTTCCGCCTAACTGGGGGCCATTACTTCCCCTCAGAGTCAGAAGCAGCTGTTCCAAACTGACACCGAGCATCAACAGCAGTGCTAAAGAAGAAAAGGGGCCCTCAAAACACTCACTCTTCCACTTTGATCTAAATTAACTGTCAGCAACTGATGTGGTCGGGACAGCCATGCTTTCAGAGTTTTCCAAAGGTCTGCAAAATGTGTCAGGAGCACTAAAATAGGAGACTCGAGTGACGGCGGAGAGCATGAGAAACAAATCTCTGAAGTATTTTAAGCCAATGTAAAGAAGACTTAGATGAGTACTGGTGTGAAGTACTGAAGGTAAAAACCAACAAGTTGACTCGATTGAAATTAGGCCTCCCGTGGCACGCTGATGTCTTCCGTCTTGTCCATCTCTCCCTGTTTCCAAAACCCCCCTGAGCCCACCAGTGAATTATTATGAGAGCTCAAATATTCCAAGTCTTTAGCACATAGTTTAGCAAGTCGTCAGCACAAAAAAAAAATGTTTTTTATTTGTTTTTTTTTTCTCGCTTCCACCGGTTAACCACTTCCATAAGAATTCCTGAACAGGCCACTTTTAGAAAAGTCATCAAGCAGACCAAAGGTGAATCTGAAAACATGGATAGACTGTATGAACAAAAGTTCTGGAACATGCCTCTTTACAATGTCAGCATTTTTAATACACGTGTAGAAACTGTTTGAGGAAGGCCCTTTTCTGTTCCGATAGGATTGTCCGTGCTTGGTTAGACGAGTTTGGTGCGGAAGAAATCTGATCAAGTACCTTTCCAATGAACACGAACAGAACGTGTGAAAACACCAGAATATGCACAAACACTTCCCACAGGACATAAAATCTTCCCAGAAGAGTGGAAATACAACTGCAAAGCACAAAGTAAAACTACCGAGACCAACGTTTGCTCCTCGGTGACCACCTAAACGTACGCAAAGCAATGACTGCTCTTCGCCGCAAGCTATTCACATGTCACCTAATCCCTTGCCAACATTTATGTTCTCCTCTGTCCTAAGGCCTGAACTCAAGACGCCACCCTGAAAGACTGGGAATCCATCCCCACAAGGTGTGGCTGCCAAAACCCAGAGAGCCCTTTCCTGCAATTCTAATCACGGTTTAAAAAGGCACAACCTTGGACTGTAATCCTAGGTCGCGGCCTATGAGGAAGAGATCAATCAAGGACCTCCAAACAAGGGTGAGCGGAGGAAGGAGGGAGATGGAGCTGAGAGTCATTTCTGGGAAAGTCGCTCTATCCTATGAGGAGAAACTTCCTTCCAAGTCGGGGCAACGTACATTCCTTGCGCCAACATTCTCCTTTGTGTAGATCGCACAAGGTAAAAAGTCACATCTGGGTTCATTCATCAAACATCCATCTGGCTCTGACTATTGCAGTGCCAGTTACTACCTTTGTCCTCAACAAGGTCTGAGGCACACTTTTGCCCATCTGTCTGGACATGAACGAAACAATCCTCCGTGGAATATTGCTTGACGTCTGAGCACATGTCTACTTAGCAAGCAGGCGACAGCATATACACAAGCTTATGCTGTGCACACGCGTGTATGCACTTGAAACTCCAAACATGGCCTCTGTTTGGACTAAAGACAAACATACTTTAAAGCAGCAGGCACATCGACATTTCATGACTAAAATGTCAAAATTGAACTGTTGATAGCAGGAAGAAAAACATGTCTTTGGGCTTGTCCAGCAGGCCACATCCTGATTAATGGAAAATGTTGCAAAACGAATCGACATTTTTAACCTCAGGTTGAGAAGAATGATTCAACTGTAACACAAAGGGCAAACAGAAATAAACTCCTCAAACAAAAGAAAAAAAAATGTGGCGTGTCATCTTTGTGTGTGTGTGTGTGTGTGTGTGTGTGTGTGTGTGTGTGTGTGTGTGTGTGTGTGTGTGTGTGTGTGTGTGTGTGTGTGTGTTAGCAGGCCACTTCAAGCTAATTACTGCTTGCTTCATAATGAATATTAGAAAATATTGGGAATAGCCAGCTGGGACTCCGGAGCATGGAGAAATGCTTCCTCAAATTCCATACATCCGTTTTACATCGCCAGTCTTCATTATGTGTCACAGGCCTATCCAAGCTGAATTGGTGAGAAGTGGGATACACCCTGGACTGGTCGACAGTCAATCAGAGGGCACATAATAACAACCACTCACTCTCATATTTATTTCTGGACAATTGAAAGTCTTCAGTGGCCCTAACATGCATGTTTTGGGAATGTGCAAGGACGCCAGACTACCTGGACTGTGCAAGAGACAATTAAACACCCATTTCTCAAACTATCAAGTACACATGGTTTTTTTTTTGTTTGTTTGTTTATTTTAATACCTCTACCAGCCTTTTTAATCACAATTTGGACCAAAATTGATGTCATCCTTTCATAGTCCTATCAATTGACAAATCAGATAAAAAGTGCAAAACAGTACCTCTTGCATTCACATTTTGCAGAGGTCTTTTTCCCGTCTATGAAGCAGCAGTTGAGCATTTTTATCATGCTTAGCACCTCTTTCAAAGTTTCATGGAACTGGTTTATGTCGTTTTTGCATAATCCTTTTAACTAACAATACCTCTCTTTTGCTCTTGTGTAAATCTCCCCTGGAAAATGTTTGACAAAAGATCTGTTTGCTGTTAACCGACAAATTCAACTATGGCAGGAAATTGTTAATCAGACAGCTTTAGGCTAATAGGTGCCGTTGCCAACCTGTAGCCAAGGGAGAATAATCAACATCATCTGCCCTTGCTGGAATTGAAGGGCCCCAAAAATGTTGTTTCCAGAGGAGACGCTGGTCATTTCCATGACGGCTACACATAACCTCTCCAATTTTGAAGGGGAGCAGGCAAGGTAATTAATTCCCCCGGTGTCTCTTTTTCCTCCCTTTCTCCCCCCAATCTCAGAGGTGAAGGGAAAAGACGGGAATGTCATTTACGCTAATTGCCTTTTGCTTGGGTGTCTCAAATTCAACTTTCCTTTTTATGTCAGGGCACCGGAACTTCAAAGCTTCATCACCCTGAATGAAAAATCTATCTTCACTAAGGGACACAGTTGATGCTTAACCACCATTCCGTTTCAGGAAGATCCCCTTTACTTTTCAACTGCGCTCCTCGTGAATGGTCATAAAAATACAGAGGTTCCCTTGAAAGCCAGCAGAGGGACTATAGAGTAACGCAGGCAAAATATTGAACATGAGGCTAAACAAATATTAGAGACGTCAGGGGTCATTATTTGCTTTGTGACGCATTCTCATTTGCATCAAGCTCCGGCGAAAAAAGCGGGCGTGCTCCACTTTGTTAGGGGGGGAAAACACTTGTAAGAGGTGAGAGCAAGCCTTGTCTTTTGTACATCCAATGGGCATCTATCTACAGGATGCAGGCTACTAGCTAGTAGTGAGTGAAGCATCACTACGTTTTCAAATTATAAACAGCCTCCCGTATCACTACGAGCATCGCCAATTGCAGCTCGCACGAGGAATTTGAATAGAACGAATGCATTGGTTTCCATTTACAACACAGTTGAGCACGATTGCACGCGCGTTTGTCTCCAGGCTGTCGCGTTCACTGTACGTGAATTACAGCACAGTAGTGTTATAGAATTTGAAAATTGCAATCTAAGTGACAGCAAAGGGATGAGCATTAAAGACGGAATCCAGTTGGATTAGTCCAGGGCACATAGCTGTAGACTTAGCGAATTGAGACGGTTTTTTTTTTGTTGTTGTTGTTGTTTTGTTTTATTTTTAACAGCGGAATCAGTCCAGACAGCAAGACCGTGCGTTCATTGCGTTTCGGGTTCAATTTAAGATAAATGTGAAATAAAACCAAGAGTGGGGATTGGAATGTGAGCAATTGTTGTGCGTTCCTTTTCTAATTCATTCGATCAGCACAGATTGGATGTTTTTGCAGGTGTTTGCACACATGACGACTCTTCTGTGCAAAAGCATGCAGACGAGTCTTGTCAGTGCAGATCCTCTTTGAAATGTGACCGAGAGAGCAGCAAGTAGCGAGAACACAACAACCGAGTCTTTTAAATAAATGCAAAAGTAATCACTTAGAGCGTGTTTGTTGAAAAATTTTGACAGAAAGACAAGACGGACGTGAGGGTGCACTGCAAAGGATCCCTCCGGCTCTATTTCAAAGGGAACGGGAGGACTTACCTTCGTATACAGGGGCCATCGGTGCAAGGGTTTCTGTTATTCATGGCAAACAATAAATAGAGGCGTCCGCTCAAAACTCAAGAAAAATCTGCCATCTTGAACGAGAGATGAGAGCGCCGCGTCGGTCTCCGGCATTACTGGCCCGGTTCATCAGTGACGAAAAGCCTCCTAATTCCCATCCAGTGTGAGGCGTCTTTCAAGCGGTGGTTCCGACCGCGATCCAGATGAGCCCACCAGCGCGGGTTGCTCTCTGCGGGCTCCCAAGACGAGCCACGATGACAGGTTGACTTTCAGCTATTGTGCGACATGTCTGTGGAGTGAGGAGTCTGCAAAAGTTGCAGAGGTCTGACTGAGTGCAGCGAGTTTGGTGTGCGAGCGAGGGAGTAAGTCGATTGCCGAGACAGTCGATGGGGAGAGGGAGGGGAGGGGGCGACGCCAGGAAAACCAATCGTCATGAAAACGTGATGGTTTCGTCCGACGGGAGAAATACAATAATAATAATAATAATAATAATAATACATTTTCTTGATAAGCGCCTTTCAAAACACTCAAGGACACTTTACAATCCGGACTAAAAATTGTGGGTGAGCAGCGACAGCCGGACGCGCCAGCGTTCACTAGCAAGAGAGAGAGAGAGAGAGAGAGAGAGAGAGAGAGAGAGAGAGAGAGAGAGAGAGAGAGAGAGATAGATGAGGTAAGCAAAAAGTTTCAATGTGAATTTATTTTAATAATATAAAAATAAGTCACTCATTATTTAATATTATAAGAACCGTTATAATAAATTAACCAATTATTTAAGTTAAACCAAATAAGTGTATACGAAAAAGGGATGTATTTGATCATTTACCGTGATTGAACAAATTATTCATTCATTCTTTCATTTTCCGAACCGCTTTATCCTCACTAGGGTCGCGGGGGGGGGGGGGGGGGGTGTTGGAGCCTATCCCAGCTGTCTTCGGGCAGTAGGTGGGGGACACCCTGAACTGGTTGCCAGCCAATCGCAGGGCACACAGAGACGAACAACCATTTACACTCACACCTAGGGACAATTTGGAGTGTTCAATCACCCCGCCATGCATGTTTTTGGAATGTGGGAAGAAACCGGAGGACCCGGAGAAAACCCACGCAAGCACGAGGAGAACATGCAAACTCCACACAGGAAGACCGGCGCTGGAATTAAACCCGGTACCTCTGCACTATGAAGTTGACGTGCTAACCACTCGGCTACCGGGCTGCCTTCAGCATATTCACTGTATGTATTTATTTTTTTAAGGAAAACTCTTGATAATGTTCAGTTTCAGTGGGCCAGCAGGATGTATGTGTTTCCCTGATATAGTCTGACTAAAAGTAATTTTAATTGTTTAATTCTATTATGACGTGGGGATGCAACCCGTTCAAACATCATTACATTTCTGCTCTCTCCACCCAGGTCACCGTTACAATTGACAATTGGTTCTCATTTGCCTTACCTTGGATAAATAAAGGTTACATTAAATAATGATTTAACATTGCAGACCTGATCAATGTGAAATCCAGTGTAAGAGTTGTCCATTATTTGTAAGACTGCTTAATTTTTCATTTTACATTGTATTTGTCCAAAAGTGTCACACGAAAGTGCAAATGTGGGGCAAGAGCGTGGCTTCAGGATATTTAAATGTCTCTACTGATATTAAAAAAGAAGAAAATATCAACAAATACAATATTACTCATATCAATTTTGATTTGCATGTTTAGAGAGGTATTTATTAAACAAAAGTATTTATTTTAGTGTTTAGAGTGACACACTATCACATTGACAGGCATTTTTAATGTATCAGTTATCCTTTTGAACTATGAGAAGCAAAATATTAGAAATAGTGCAGTTTTTGCACTATGGTAAAATATTAATGAAATGTCCTTATAAATTAGTGCATTTGACATCAATCAGCAAACTATTGACACTGTCGGTAATATTTTGGAAGGTTAAAAAAGTGTGAATTTAATCTAATTTGATAAGCGGTTGTACCTAATGCAGTGGCCACTTAATGAGTATCTTTTGTTGTTTTGTTGTCATTTCCAATGTTTCATGTTTCCTTGCTGTGCATTCTGGTTGGATGATGCTGTGTGTGTTTGCTCATGTCTGCCTTTGACTGCCTAGAACTAAAAAGCCTATTCTATGACGACATGAGATTTGCCCAGAATGAATTTGAATGGAATCGGATTACATAGGCTCACAGCAGTGTGATTAATCTGTCATTTAGCAGCAACACTAAATTGCACTCGCAGCATTATGCACACCAATCTCTAAATGAAACGTGTAGACTGAGGCTTGTGGGCGGACGTAAGACGCTGATGAATTAGTGCAGATCAAATTCAGTCTGAAAGTCTAATCCCACATCAGTGTATGGGCATTTGTATCTCTTTTTTTTTGCATGAGGAAACAATGGTGTCATTGCATAAACACTGGTGGCGAGCTGTCTTCAGCATGTGCCAAGCTTCGCATCGTGTTCTGCAATAATTTAGTATGAAGTATGTCACACAGCCTGGAGCCTGGCCACATGTCATATAGAGTTGACCATTGGCCGTCTACATGGTGATGTAACTATCGGACAGGCATCAGATTAGCTCTTAGAGGCCTCAGGGTTCCTGGAGACCTACATTTGTTAAGCATCAAAGCGCAAACAAATATAATTCTCATCTGTTAATTGACACTGGACGTTCTTTGGAACTGCATTTTTGCGTGATCCGTGTGTCTATGGATAATTTGGTAATCTACTCAAACAATAAATGAAGCTCGAGTGTCGTGCCAAAGTAGCGTTTGAACAATACTGTAATGATGATCAAGTATTTAACTAGGTCGTGTACCAACAATACCCTTTAGAGTGCAGACGTTCACAATTATGTGTTGTTAGTAACTACATCCTGGATCTTGAATAACAGGGCAGTGCCATTATGTTTTTGTCATTATAAATTCCACTACGTTCAAGTTTATTGCCGAGTGCATTCAAGTGTACAGTGTACAAATCAGACTTTCAGCACAGCTTCATTAAAATAGTCAATACGGCGCAACTCAAGCAAGCTGTAACAGAGGGGTTGGTAGTTTGCGCCTCCTCGGGATCGAATGGAATCTGGAATTTCCATCAGGATTAAGAAAGTATCATATCTGTGAGCTTGAACACTGCCATGTTATCACATAGAAGTAGAAGTATAACATTTTCACACATGGACCTCACACCGACCGAGCTGGACGGAACAAATGTCAGTTATCAATTAGCCATTCATAAGAAAGACCCAATGAGGAGAGGAGACACTTGATTCTGGTACCAAATCGCTCGAGGGGGGAACGAAGACATTTTTCAAAAGTACCGTGGAGCTGAGCGTGAACAGGTGGCAATCACTGGTGTGCATGATACCGTGCACAAATCATCCGAGAAATCAAAAGAACTGTGTGCCTCGTACCACATTTGAACCCGTTTATTTCACTCTGGTGTCTTCAGAGAGAGAAAGTCCATCTATTTTTCGCCACTGAGACTTATTATTCAGTGGTAGTCCTAAAGTGGTTCTAATGCTATCACCGTACGTGAAAAAATGTATTTTAAAGAAATGAAGAGGAAGCCGATCTTGATCCCATGATTGGTCAAACAGATGTTTGACTGAAAGCAATTTCTGATGTTTCATTTCAAGTTTAATTGCATGTGTGACAGATTAGCAAAGGTTGACAAAAGATGGACAGACAGGCAGATGGTCCCTGACAATTCCATAGGGTTAATCCATCAATCCATCGCTCTTGAGTTCATCATGATAATTATGGCTCAGGACAGAAAATAAAATCCCAATGGCAAACTGACTTAGTTGGTAAATTGTACGGACAAGAAAATGATCCTGGTTGTGTTGAGGGACGACAGAAAGGACTGAGAATGTGAAAACCGAGACTTTATTTGCAGAGTTCCTGTTTTGACTCTGAGACTGAGTCAAACAAGTCATGTTTTGGCCAAAACAACTGTCTCACTGGTCAGATTCCAGTTGTAATGAGGTCTTAAATTATTAAAATGGTCAAAAGAATGTTGTGTGGTTGGGGAAAAAAACTGGTTTCTAGCATTACAGCAACAACGTTTTGTTTTGTGTTGTTTTTTTAATACAAATTTGAGCAACTGAATGAACACAGTTTTTCCGAAGGTTGTATGAAATGCAAAATATGGCATTAGAGACCTCACACTCTTGAGCAACTCAGATTGAGAAAGAATTCGACATACAAAGCTTCAACAATTAAGTGTCCTCAGTTCCCAAGCGGAAAGGTGATGTAAGTGGTCGGCATGCTTTGCAGGCATAAAATTCATCCATCCATCCATTCGCTGATCCGCTTATCCTCACAAGGGTCGCGCATGCTGGAGCCTATCCCAGCTGTCTTCGGGCAGTAGGCGGGGGACACCCTGAACCGGTTGCCAGCCAATCGCAGGCCACACATAGGCAAACAACTATCCGCACTCACAATCGCACCTATGGACAAGTTAGCATGTTCCATTAACCTGCCATGCATGTTTTTGGAACGTGGGAGGAAACCGGATTACCCGGCGAAAACCCACGCAGGAATGGGGAGAACATGCAAACTCCAGTCAGGAAGGCCGGAGCCGGAATCGAACCCTGCACCTCTGCACTGTGAGGGTGACGCGCTAACCAGTTGACCACTGGGCCACCCGGCATAAAATTCAAAAGAGGTTAGATATTTGAAAGGAAAAAAAAAAGATGATCCCTTTGAACATTCAATATCTTTAGAATATATTCCATCGACTATAGGTTGAAAAGGATTTAGAAATCATTGTGTGCTGTTTTAATCTTCGCACCTTTTTACTTGTCTCAAATGCACTGGAAGTGCGATTTGAGGTTTTTGGATACAGACATGCACATGCACCTCAGAAATGATGTTCAGTGGATAACAAGGAGCACAAATGAGTTTCTTCTGTCCCCGCTGCCCACTCCAAACCTTTTATGTAGTCAAAAACCTTCTCACTTTACACTAACCTTTAACCTGCTTTATTACTCTGAAATAGCTTTGGTGCTGATGCAGTCCAGTCTTGTCTTGGTTTTGGAATAGAATAATTGAGCTGTGGTCTGCTTTTAAAATTTTCAATGGGTGGTTACGGCACAATTTTTATCAAAACAAAATACTCAGTCACCTCTCATTTTTCCTCCAAATTCTTCTTTCACGAGCTGAGTGTGTTTCCCCAAAATGTTTTTGTATATGATCCGATTCTGTGTCACCCCGTGCCTGCTCAGGGATGTTCGTTCCCATTTATGTTCAAGTTGTCACAGCCTTCACGTTTCAGAGGGTTTGTCTCTGACACGAAATTACTGAGGATGCAACGGGCACAACCGTCTGAGCCATATTGGAGGGGAGTTGAGGGTACAAAGTTAGC